TGCATTAGGACTCACTGTGCTAATGTTAACAAATTTGCTTAGACTTCTATTAATTTACTCTGCCAATACTCCCTATTGCACATAATGTCTCCCATCATCAAAGAGCTTCCTGACATTAACAACTAGATCCTCAGAGCAAACTCCTTGAGTTATTCTAGATGGTTTGACAAGGCAGAAGAGGAATAGCTGGCATCCTGTGTTGAGCCTTTAAGAGATGGCATTGTCTAGGGAAAAGAAGATGCTTTTGTAATTGGTATAATTCAGGTGATGGAAAGGTCTTTGAACAAGCTATAGGAATTTCCCAATGGCAGCACTGCCTGGCATCTCTGTAGCACTAAGTATTGTGGACTTGTATAGACCTGGGCCACAGACCTACCTGTCACTTCAGCCATGATCATCGGATCTAAAAAAGGTGAAGAAAAAGGTCTTTTCTTTGCAAAAAAGGACTTTGGTGCACAGGAGGGCTGGACCCACAGTGATGACCTCTCCCAGCTAACTGAGGGCCTCATGAACCCAAGGCACAACGGAAGTCTGACTCTGGGGAATGCCAACCAACCTGCTCCATAACCACTATGTCCTGTCAGAGACTCAGATTTGGTGCCTGTGGGAGTAGCTAAATATTAACGCCCTCAAAAGCCACCTGCATGACATATTACAGGACCTAATAACTTAAGTAATATATCAAAATATATAGCAATTAGGTCTCAGCCACAACAACCAATTGCACTGATGAACACCAAGGAAGCACTGGAGTCTTTTCAGAAAAAAGCTCTCCAAATAGCTGTTTTTTCTTGTTCAGTATCTGGATTAAAAAATTAAACCCAAACATTTCACATCAATTCAAAGTAAAAGTTTTGAGAATTTTGGGGCAGAGGCAAAATAATTATTTCAGTCTGAGGAAAAGTAATTCTGAACAATCTTATGTGAGTGATTCTCTTTTTGGCAATTTCTAGTAACAGAAAGTAAGTCCTTTATTCACAGAGTGAAGAGCATGTATTTCTCTTTTCAGGGGTAGTGCCTACCCACTCACAGAAGCCCCTCAGAGTCTTATACTGCATTGTTCAAATTACTTGTTATTTAATTGCTGTAATGGAGCCAAGTTATGGCTGGGTTCTGAGAGAGGGAAGAGTTTAGGGATCTTTTCTGCAAGTAAGACAGCCAGAGTTTATTTGGCTGAATTTAGGACTGAAAACGATGTACAAGTCAATAAAGCATGCAAACATTTTCCTACTACCCCAAAGAGAAATGTGTTTTGACATGATACTGCTGTTCAGCCCCACTTGCTGGGTTGACAGTATTAGTGAAATGAAAGAACTTCTGGCTAGCAAAATCCCTTATGGTGTCCTGAAAACACTGATTCAGATTTTAACTATTGCTGCAGTCTCTGCCTGCAATGGGAACTTGCTAATGGAGAATCTTTTTCGTTCAGAGTGAGTTCCTTATCTTGGTGACATACTGCTCTAATACAGATCCCAAACAGACTTCTGTTTTGTCCTCCATTGCCTATTAGATATTTTAACATGTACTGCGGTTAAAAATTAGTAATGCCAATCAAGAAGCAGGGTGGATGGCACTACCCTCCTGAAAAGCGTAGAGCAAAGGCAACTTTATTTTCAATAACAGCTTTAAGGCCTTCTGAACAGACACCTGGCTTTTACTCCTTCTGGTTTAGTTTATCACAGTAACTATTCTGCTATTCAGAATTTTATTCTGAATTTTACTAATTCAAGGCCAGATGACAGAGTTACAGTATATCAGTATTATTCCCACTGAACATATCATACACAGCAGCCCTTGAGTTAAGCTACTATATGTAACCCACTAGTTTTGGAGGCTGAAATGATCATTCAAAGCCAGATTCCAAAGCCCTTCTGTCAAGCATTGCACCGATCCACAATTGGTAATGGTATGTACTCATCTTTTATATAGGTGGTGAAATCTGGCTATCCAGGAACAGAGCTAAATGAATGCTAAAGCTGACATTAGGTGGGCAAACAAATAAAGTAATGAGAATTAAACATGTTTTTTTCCAAGAACTGAGACAGCAATAAAATCCAGTGTAAAATATAATTTGTACCTATCACATGACTCTGACATGTAGTCCTTGTCATGGTGTCCTCCTCTTCTTCTTGCAGGTTTTCTGTGACTACTTTAGCCTGTACATAGTACAACAAAAGTGAAGAACATCTGTGACTCTGTTTATGTTGCTTCATGATAACTACAGAACATCTTTTCAGAAATAAACCAGAGCAAAGTTACCGGGCAGCTAAAAGTGGAAGTATACAGCCCGTCTCATTCTGTGAACGATACCTAAGGATAACAACTTTAACTTCATGCAAAGTTACAATATGTACCAGTCAAAAAATACCCTTGGAAGATGCCATTCCTCAAAAGGAAAAGTCTTTTTCTGCATTAAAAAAACAAAAAAGAATTATGCTCAGCTCTCCTGACCTCTTATCTGTTTCTCTCTAGAAATACCATGTTTCAGATTCTATGCTAAAAAAAAAGTGAACTTAATACGTGATGTGGTGGTATCTCTCTAGTTCAGTTTGCAAACACCGAACGTTGGCGTTTTTGTTTCTACCTCTGTTTAAAAGCATTTATTAGCTAAACAGAGAGAAAAACTTCATTTAAGAATGCAGGGCACACTAAGAGCCTGTGTGTGTTATTCAAGTATGTGTTATTAAAATCCCCTAGATATTCTATTTTTCAGATGAAGGCATATTTTTGCTCTGTTCTTCTCCACTCCTATTTCCCAAGTGTATATATAATCTGAGTATCTTCCTAGCATACAGTGAAAACCCCCTCCATTACATGCCATCAGTGGCCGTAATTCAGATCCAGAGACATATTCTTCTGCCATGCTATATAAATGAAACAGGAATGAAGATACTTTCAGGGTGATGAGAGGAGGAAAGCCAGCCAGCACTGCAGAAAAAATTACTTTCAATATCTCAGAGATCTTAAATTATTTGTTAATCACTCTCTGCTGTTTTAAACCACTAACAGCACATTCACAATAACATTAAATATGTTCTGTAATCTAAACCAGTAGAATTTATCATCATTTGCATGACATATCTTTGATCATAGTATATATTCTGCTTGTCTGGCTTACACAAGTAGCCCTATTGACCTCTTGTGACTAGCCTCAATAAGACATGAAAGACTCGCTCTCTATATTTATAAAAGTGCATTGATAATCTCTTAATCCCAGAGATTTGATTACATCTTTTTTCTTCTGAAATGAGGCTCTTCAGGCTATGGAAAATGAAGAGGAGAGTATGTGATCATTTGGCATCGAATTATGGGTAGAACAATTTCGCACATTTGCAGACTGCATGGCGGTCTGTGGCTGGCTGCTGATGTGACATTTCACAATATTAGGATAGATCTCTGAGTATTCCCCAAACACACAGACTGCAGACAGACAGTGCTATACAAAACTCCTGGTGTCTTGATTTTGGTGCTACACTTCCACCTCACAAAGTAAAGCCCATGGCTTTTCTAAATTACACTGGGCTGTAATAAAATCACAAAGATGAAATGAAGCAGTGCAGCACAAAAATGATTGTATCTCACCTTAAACTCCAGCCAAGGACATGAAAAAGTACTGGAGAATGTGGACTTATCCTTGGTGTGGGCTAAAGGATTATGTATTTCTGTTGGCTGGCCTTTAGAGCAAAGTGCTTTTTTGATGAACACTAACGGGAAGCGTATCCCTCTGAAGGTGAATGCACAAGGCCGCCATTGGTGGAACATTGCTTTTTCCATAAATTCAGTGGCAGTCAAGCAATAACATTCTTTGCATGAACAGAAATCAGAGGTAATTGGTGCATATGTTATGGTATAATAGTGCCCCAAGTCTTTACGTGACATATCATAAGAGAAGAGATTTAATCATCAAAAATTAAATAGGCTTTAAAGGAAAAACTTTCTAGAAAATGTTAAAAAATGTTATGGCCAGGATTTAAAGAAGCAGTATACATATGCTATGCACTTTTGAAATACAGCAGCTTCCGCACTGAACCCGTATGACTGAATGCACTTTGCATTGTTCAAAAAAGAAAAGAAATCTTCTTAGTTTAGGGCTTTTCAAAAGATTTATCCTGTTTTCTCCAAAAGCATTCATTCTGTCTTTTTACAAACAAAAAAATGCACAACAGGCCATTCTACCACATGCAACTGTTTTCAGTCACAGCTATCTCCCAGTCCTTTGCAATCTGCTTCAAAGTAAGCAGACACCAAAGAATAACTGGAAATGGCAGTAATAAGATGCATGAACTTTGAATTTAAAGACTTTCCATTGTTTTTCTTGTAGAAGTTTGGAGGACAAGATGAAATATCACATACTGTGGAATCTTAAGGTATTCTCGTTCTTTCATAAATTAGCATTAAGAACTGTAAGCATGTTTTTAATCTCATTATTCTAGATGTCCTCAGTCTTTTGGCATAGATATTTCTTTCAGGAATTAAGTGCCACAAAAAACACAATATGGAACTCACAAAGACGAAGCATAATAATGTAACTTAAGCTTCAAAAACAATACGAAAAATACTTTGATTCCCAGCGAACAAAAGAGTGTATGGTATAGGACAGGTAATGCCTTTTCCCCATGACTAACATGTCCTTAAAAACTAAATAGTATAATTAGCATTTCTCCATTATTTATGTATATTAAGGACAATCTTTGTAGTTCCCTGATAAAACAAAGTGTGTTTCTTGAAGATATACTTAAAGTCCTAAACGAGTATTATTGCTGCATTTAGAAAGACTTCGCAAAATGACGGACAAAAAGCACAGCAAATTATTGCAGCATTACAAAATAGGAAGTTAGAAAGAAATTGTAGAAGCAATGTGTAGAGTTTTTTGTACTTCTGTACAGTGAAGATATACCGTAAGCTGTCAGGACCATATTAAATGGGGCATAGTTAAACTGAGTGGCTCTGATAAGGAGCTCTGCTTTGCTATCAAAGTTCTAGATCAGTTGGATTGAATTTCCTGCATATTGCACATTTCCAGACTTTCATTCTCTCTCTTTCCTTTCAGTGACACTACAAGGACAGCCTTAGATATGCTTATAATTTGTAGTTTTATAATGCAGGAGACATCTGCATTTTCAAAGAAGAGATGATACCACAGGAGTCAGGAGGAAAAAGTTTTCAAACACATTCATTCTGCATATGTTCCCCGTAAGTTTTAAAAAATGACCTTGCGGATGTTCTTAGGAACGACGTCTGCATTAAAGTAAAAAACCACATTTGCCTGAAGTTGAAACCAGGTGTGTGATACTTTAAACAGCCTAAACATCACACTAAGCTAAGTTTTTCCAGTTCCCATTATGAAGTTTCCTGAAATTTGTTTTACCCTTGAAACACATCCCAAAGAATTTGTATTTCAAATTCTCTCAGATGAAATAGTTGCATGTGCTGTACTTCAATAACTCAGTTTTATCAGAACAACAAAAGTAATGGCCTCAACTTCATGTTCAGTATTATATCTGGCACAAGTTTTCAGACAATTTTGTGAAAATTGTGATTATTGTTAATAATCATCATAACAATATGGTCAAGACAGCTATCAGAAATGAGAAAAGAATGTTCATCGAGTTAAAGCATCTCTGTTTCCCTGGTGCTTAGACTTTTAAAACATCATGGGAAAGGCCCTTGCTAGGCAAGAAATTGCTCACTAAATTCTAAGGTTAATTATTAGAAGCTTCACAAGGAAGAGCACTCACTCAGTCTGACTTTAGGCGACAGTCCTAGACTCTGTGTACACTTCTTGATGCAGAAAAGTTAGCCAGCACATAACCTTTCAAGAACCAGAATGTAGCAGCTAACAGAAAATAAAATGTTTTTTCTTCTAAATTGCAACATTCCTACTGTCTGAGTAAATTAAAGTATTAGGTATAGTTAGTACCTTATTGAAGCATAAACTAACTACAGGGCATTAACAGGGGGATTTTCTGTGGTATAAAGAGAGACATGGGTCAAATGTATGTTTTTGCTTTTGAAAGACTCCCTCTTAAGTGACAAGTATTCCCAAATGTGGTCAAATACTTTGCCTTTTCCCCATCAGCAGTGCACTTTTTAGGCAACAAGGCTTAATGATTTCTACAGTGTTCAGAGGAATGTTCAACACTGGCACACAATTTTCAGGGAAAGGGGAAAAAATGAAAAAAAAGAAAACGGTCCTATTATTTCACTCTACTACAGCATGATTATAGCATCATTGTGCATATATCTCCACTGGAATTGAATTGCCAGCAGAAGCAGTAGGACCTTCATGACTAGCTGTATAATCTGGCCTATAGTCAAGCTGCCAACTTCTGTATTAATTCACAGTTCTCTAGCTACACAAAATCTTTCTATCATATATAAACAGTTATTAACCTGTTTGTCTGTACTGGCAATAAGGAACACATCCAGAAGTTAAAAAGAATGTAATAATGTCTTCATGTACTAAAGCACTTACCAGGGTCTGATTCTGCATTTCCATATCAGCTTTTGTGTTGCTGTTTTTCTTGTGGTTTCCTTGAGAGCTGATAGAGTTGCCGTGAAGAGAGGAGCCCTGGGAGCTGCCCTTCGACACACTCCTGTAGGAAACATTATTTGATCCACTTTCTGTCTGCTGAGCTGCTTTCTTATCAACTCTGCAGGTAGAGAGTGATTCCTCTGATAAATTACATTGCCCTTCTTCAATCACTCTACTTTTCCATTCCTTTAATGTTTAAAGTAACCTCTCTGTATCTTTCAGTCTCTAGACCTTTGAGTGATAAATGTTTCTAACTAGCCTTGATCAAATCTGTCACTTGCAATTTCAGGTAGTATATCAATTTAGTCTTTCACATATAATGATTTATATTATATTTGGGACTGCTGTGGGGCAAATGTGAAAACACAGTATAGCAATTGCTAAGTTCTTCTGTGACCGAAGGTTGTGGTAGCTAGAAATGTAATTAATTCAGACTAGTTACCAAATATATGTTTGCTGGTTACAATACATGAAGATGGAATACATTAAAACATGTACCTAATTATCCTCCATCTTTACACACCATCTGCCTAGATTCTTGATTTCTTGAATAATTTGAATTTGTACCAACTTTGATGTAACTTGCCATTCTTTAATTTCAAAGGCCGTTGGTTTGGTTAACAAAGTAACATGAACAAAATTATCATTTCATTCTTAAGGTTTTTTCCAGTAGAGATTAAAGTCCTGATAGTGTGCCTACTGATTGCTACTATGCATTCTTCGTCTAAAAGGAACATACATTGAACTCAGCATCTGAGCATCTGTAAAGCTATAGTGTACACCACCACATCCCAAACTGTGTTCTAGAGTTTTACCTGTTTAAAAGCTCTTTCATAAAACTGTCTTTTGGTGAGTATGTAGCTGTGGTGCAGCCTTTGACTTGTCCACACTCAACCGCACCAGGCGCATCTTGTGAAGGTTTCATAATTTTGCTCTCCATGACATCAGTTAAAATGTCACCGTTGTCTGTTTTCCTGTTAATTTCATTTTCTATTTCACAGTGTTGTTCAGTTTTCTTTTTTTCTTTTCTTCTCTCTAATTTTGCCTGCTTAATTCCAAATCCTGAAACTTTTGCATCTTTTTTTTCTACCTTTGTTTTAGGAACATCGATTTTCCTGCTACTCAGTGCCGGGAGCTTACTCTTTCGAAAGCCAAACCAACTAGCTATAGAGGGCCCAGTCTTTTGTTTAGTCTCCGCAGTGGGAGATTTGGTTTGTCCCTGACCCTTTTGCACATTTTCTTGGATGCATAACATGACTTTCTCCTCTATTGTAGGTTGTAGAGCTGGTGAACTCAAAACATCAGTAACCTTCTCAGAGGCTTCTGCTAACTTTAAAGACATTTGCTGTCTTCGTGACTTCATTGCTTCCAGTTTATGAGGACACTTTATTCCATCCGAGCTTTGAAGTGATGAAATTTGTTTTGAAGATACAGTAGCTGACGCTTCTAACTCCAATTCTGCTGGCAGAACACTTTTTTTACTTAGAGCTTCATGTTTAAAACTTTCAGTGCTTTTCTCACTGTGGACAGACAGACTGTGTGTATCTTTCTGAGCAAATGGTTTGTTTCCATCACTTTTTGAAGCGTTGTGAAACAAGTCTACTTTTGAAGATGATCTGAAGGGCAGTTTGCTTGGGCTTCCATGCTGGCTATTGCAACTACTCGTATTTCCAAGAGAACCTTGTCTAGAATAAGAATTTTCTGTGGTTTTAGGAGTATATGAAAGAGTCTCTGATGTCACTGCTGACCCAGGAATGGCCTTGATTTGAAGTCCTTCCATGGCTGAGTTCTGCCTTGTTAGAGAATTTCCTCTATCAGAAGTGTTTGTAATAATCTGAGTCCGTACTTTTCCAAGACCTTCTGTCACAGGGGCAGATGGCTTTTCCCCTGTATGAATGCTAAAACTCTGACTACGAGCTTTAGCTCCATTCATACCCAGAGCTGGCTTCAAGTGCGACTTGTTGCTAGAAGAAACAGATCTCTTAACTAATTTGTTTTCCAATCCATCTACTCTGTCTACCACCACGTTGCAGTTTTCATGTGAATGAGGCGATGCTGTATCCATACTAAGTCCCACAGTAAAATTGTTTTTTACTTCAGTATCAGATGTAGAGTCTTTCAATTCAGCATCCGTTGCACCTCTAGCAGTTACACTTGTAGGTTCATTTTGCTTGTACTTACTTGAACTCACATTACTTTTGGAAGCTGCATTTATACTGTCTTTTTCCTGCTTCCCTGGTACAGTAGAGCTCTTTCTCAGAAGTTGGGGAGATTTGACAAATAATTTCAGTCCTACAGGGAGACGGGTTTTCATTCCTTTCTCATTTTGGGTAGCATGTGCAGTGTCACTACCATGAAACAGTGTTGACACTGGGGAATTGTTTACCTGAGATAGTAAGGGATCACTTGTGCTTGTCGTATGACATTGAGGAGTAGCGGGGAGAATGTTTGGCATCTTTTGTGGCTGATCTACCCCACTGTCACTGCAAATACCTTTTTTACTGGAATATGTGTCTTGTGAAGAAGTTGTTTCCAATGATGGACAACCTAGAGAAAAGGACCTGGCTGTTTGAAAATCTGTGTTGGAAAATTCACGATTCCTGTGGAGACCCAGCTGATTAGGGTTTTTTGGGCAGACTTGCTTTGTGGAAACTTTGGAAAGTCCTTGGCATGCACTATGGGGTTGCTGAGATATGCATTTATTTTGCATAATTGCTTCTGCATTTTCTTGAAGGTAAGATAATTCAATTTTGGCCCCAGAAGATACATTTTTTGCTTGTATTTCATGGCTAGATTGATTATGAAAGCCAGAGTTCACAGTTCCTTTTAATGGCGATGATTTCAGTATATTTTTTGCTGCTTCACTGGGACCAGCTCCTCCTAACTTTACCGCTACAGGTGGTGAATGAGAATAATTAGGCCGAATCAACAGGGATGTTGACCTGCCTGGAGGAACGGGTGGAGATGGTGATCGGGCTTCTACAGTTGCTAAATCACAATGAAAGTCTCTGGTTGGAGGTTCTCCATAGTCAGTGGGCTCTATAAGGTGCTGAGGCAACAGTGGTGATGCTGGACTCTGACTCTTTGGATACTTTGACCCATTGCCTCTGCTTGGACGTTTCAAGCCGGGCAGGGGGTGGGCAGGGGGCTTGGGAACCTGGAAGTCGACTTTTGAGTCAAAATGACGAGGTGGACTTTGTGTCTTTCTGAATCTTGAAAGCTTTACAGGTGGCAAAGCAAGTGATTTTTCAAGGGTTTCAGGGCCCACTGATTGAGCTACAGGTATCTCCTCACTCTCTGTCATTACAGTTTTTTGTGGAGAAAATTTACCTCTGCTGGGTATTTTAGTCAAGTTTGGCTTTTGATTGATTCCTGCATGCACAGCGGAGCTTGAATTGCCCTTGTATGATACATCATACACTTGCTTCACTAGTTTTTGTCGTGGAGTATTTTGCAGTGTCACTCTTCCACAGTGTGAAGATTCACTGCAGGTCATGGGGACAACTGTATTTTTACTCCCTGTATTATCTTCAAGAGTCTTTTTCTCAGTTTCATCTCCAGGTCTTTCTAAAGCAGTGTAGCTTCTAGCACTGGTTCCTGTCTGCAAATCAGTTATTCCCTGAGGTGTAAGTTCAGTATATTCTGCACTGGACCTAATTTGTGGCTGGTTGATTGAAATTTCATTTCTTGTTACAGTGACAACTCCAGTCTGATGAGAGCTGAATTCAATAGGCTCACCATCTTCAGCATCAAATATTACAGTAATGCACTCTTCAGAAGAGGTCTTTTTTATAACCTTTTGTTGTTTAATGAAATTACATGTCTTTGGCCTAATGTCTGAGTGAGCAGATATCTGTTTTTCCTCTTTGTCAGTAGATGCAAACTGAGAATTCTCCGTGACTTTGAGCATGTCAGAAGTCTTTGTGTACTTCTCAGTAAAAGGAGTTGCTAATAAATCTGATGGACTTTTCTCATCACTGCTTTCTATATGCAATTCATCCAACACTTCATTGTCATCAGTATCTGAAAGCTGAAAATTAAGGTCCTTCCAGCCTATATCAGCATGGCTTTGATTTAACTGTAACTCGGGCAGCTTTGCTCTGGTGCTTGATTTTACTTCTGCCTGAAAGCCACTGACAAAACTAGTCAATTTTTCAGGTCTTTCCTTTGAATTAAAATACGAACTTCTTTCTGGCAAATGTTTCCTATTAGGATCCCAGTCAAAGAGACTGTCAGAAACGCTGTGAGTTAATTTGTTACAATAGGTCCTGCAATCTTTGCTTGGTACTTCCTGCAGCAACAGTAGGGATGAAGAGTCGTCATCTGCATCATCATGTGAATCTGAATCATAAGAGAAAGTTTTGTTATGTTCAATGCAAATACTTCCTATTTCCATTGGCTGACAATGAGTCTGTTCATTATGGCTGCCACATTTAACTCCAGGGGAATATATTCCTTCATTAGAGTTCATGCAATCTTTGTAACCCCATTTTGATATTACTGAAGGTGATTCGAGTAATATTTTTTGCTTCTGTAATTTCTTCAGCCCTTCTAAGATATGGTTTTCCTTGATACGAGTTGGAGGTAGATCATCCGCAGGACTTGAGAGATTGCTTGGGAGCGAAGAACCAATGCTTATTCTTTTATCCCAGCTCACGGATGACTGTTAAAACAAAATAAAACTCACATATTACACACAAGTGCTGTTAATAAAAAGTGTTACCATTTTAGTAAAGAGATTTAGGAGTTGCATAGGGCATTACATTTCATCCTTTGCTATTAATAGCAATGTTCTTTTTTAATAAAGGATTTCATAGTGGTGTGAAGGCTGCAGTGCATTTAAAACCTGTAGGAAGAACAATATGAATGGAAGGATTAAGATAAAGAAGAAGAACAATTTGGACTGTGAAAGACAGAATAAGTGTCAGAATAAATGAGGAAACTGTGAGCAAATTGGAGCGATAAAGGAATTGTTTAAAAAAAATTAAAAGGAGGGAGAGTGAGTGGGAGGGAGACATCAGGGAGAGAACCCTGACTGAGTTTAGTGACAACTGTTTTAAATATAAAAGAGAAGAAAGTGGAAAAAAAAATCTGAAATAGGCAGCTTTTCAATTAATCTTGTTTCAGATTAACTTAAGCTAATGAATGAAGAAAATTAATTTGATTTACCCTTTTGCTGCATGTCTTTCCATCATTCCAAGTGTAAGAGGAACCACTGGAATATTCACTGCAAGCACTTGAGAGGGAGAGTTCACTGCTACTGCAGCTGCTCCGGGGATACAGGCGGCTAGGACCTGTCATATTTAATTGACTCTGGCATTTTAAGACAGGAATACTGCATTTCACATTCTGCTGGCATTCCTAAAATATGAGAAGAAATAGAAATATCTTATGGGAAAAAGACCATTTAACTTCCCCTTGATTAAGAAGGACAAAGAAAAAGCAAGTAAGCTTCTTACACCTTCCTGTTATGCCATTAGCATCTGGTGAATTTAATAGAGAGAAGTAAATTAAAAATTGCTAACATTTTCATTTGTCGGGGGAAAAATCCACAATCCTCCATGTTTTCTTCTTTATTCTTGAACCAGTATTCTGCTCTTCTTTTGCTAAAGATTATCCTGAGTCTATTTGAATTATGCTTTGTACATAAGCAGCGTGCTCCAGTAAGATACAGAAAACAAAGTTATAAGAATGCAAGTATATCTTGACAACTGCATTATAGCCCTACAATGTAACAGATGAGGCTGTACATCTCGGACAAGGTAAATTAATTTAGTATCCCAACCAGAATGTCCACTGAGAATGGAATCTCTCCATTACAGTCTAATTTTGGTTTCCTATCTAGTTCAAAGCTTTGTCTAAGAAACTCTCTGACGTAGGACAATCCATCTTTGTGTCGCTTGCAGACAGCTGAAGCCTCTTGCTTATGCAATTTATTGACACTTTATGGCTGCCTTTAGTACTTGTGTAGTTATCGCCCCTCTCCAAATGCAATTTCAGCTGACTGTGACTAAGTGCCAGCTTTGAGGAAGAGAGTAATGAAGAGCAGATAGCACTTTAGGTAAAATATTAAACCTCTGTAGGAGTATCTAGGATGCCTTTAATTTGTTTTCAAACTAATACTCTTGTGCCTAACAGTGTTAGAGCTTCTTTAATGTTAAGTGCCTGCACCATTCCGTTATGCTGTTCTCCAGTTTCCTTACAGAATCACACATCTTTTTAATTACCAGGAACGCCAGACAGAGCGACATGACTCCATTTCATAAAACTTTGCTTTGGATTTCATTAAGGCAAGCTCAAACAATATTTATTGATTTTTGTGTGTAGATATACCCCAAATTAAATTTGCTTAGATGAAAATTTTACCTTTATAGTCAAGAAGACACAAGAAATCTAAAGTTATTGAATCCACAAAACAACGATCAAAACTGTATATGCCATAGACACAGCTTCTTCATGCAAATCTCTGGAAAAATGCTCAGTTTGTAGGCACTTCTCATACACTAACATGTTTGTTGACCTTCTGCTAATTTCTTCCACTTATTCCCCCATGTCCTCCCATTTATTACTACTAGGGTTGAACCTTTTTTCAGTTAAATGGGAGAGAGCAGAATTTTTACTGCTGAGGAGTTCATCAGTACAGCTGTTCATTGCTCAACTGACATCATAATGTTCTGCTTTTGACAAACGTAACCACAGGGCAAATCATTATTCTCTGTCACAGGCAAAAGCTATGAATGGGAAAATCATTTAGAGGTAGCAAGAGCACATTTCACCTCTGGGAGTTATTGGTACATGTTCTCCTAGGAAGTCAAATGGATGCAGGAGGAACAGCCTTTAAATCCACTGGCTCTGGGAAGAACACATCTTTCAGCATCAGAGGCAGGCTGATGCCTGTGTTTTGGCTCTGGAACAGACTTTCTCATACTGTTGAGACAAATTACTCTCTATTTCTGACATCGTGGTTCCGATGGGAGACCCTGTCTCATCAGATTCCTCAGCTATGACAGTGTCATTCCCTGTAAGGTTGACTGTAAAGCGGCCAATGGCAGCATCTGCTTGTTCAGCTATTTTGTTGCCTTTCAGCTGTGGTATTGGGAAAATATGTCATGTCAAATTTCTGCCCTTTATACTATGCTATGTCCCAGTCACCATAGTGTTTAAGGGAAGGATGCCTGTAAAATCCTTTCCTATGAGAACCTCCTGTAAGAGAAAAGAGGAGATCACAGCATACTGACAAGTACTGCCTTCCCTTCCTGTCACCTTCAGCTAGTTTGAGAGCCTTTCCAGGAGAAAGGCATTTGGTCCTACAGTGTTAGCAATGGGAAAAATGGAGATACCCAAGCAAAGCAAAAGAACAGTGTATCACTGTAATCATCTTTATTGTTTAAGAGATGAGAAAATGTGCAAAAGGTACCATGCCATCACAGATTCTGAAGTAGGGTATCTATCTGCCCAATTTCTAGATTGCATTCAGATCACCAAAGACAAAATGGAATTTTCTCCTGCAATTTGCCTTTATTCTCTAAATTACCAGAGAAAGTACTTTGAATAGTATGTTTATGACGCAATAATTAAATATATTTAGCTTGCATATGGGTCTATTAACTGACATGGTTAAATTTCAACTTTTTGTAATCATGACTCTTAAGTCATTACCTTTAATGACATTAAAGAGGCCTGAATGTAGCATTACAATTTAAATACATAATTTTTGCTAAAAAGCACATTAAATTGAAAGAATCAGACTATTACAGACACAAAACTCTGTATTAGAAAAGCCTAACCTGAAGGCTTAATTACACATAATGCAAAGGGTCATTAGCATTTTTGTGAACCTTTGAAACAATGCCTTTTCCTTAAAGTATGTATTACAAAGGAGATTACATTTTTGTTGACACTACTGTACTTCAAGATCAAAGGCACACACAGGTTCAATGTTCTGTTCTTGTCCTCTTTGTTTCCCTCTATCTTTATGTGACTTTTGTTTTTTAAGCTACTTTTCTCTTTGACAATGAAACATGAAAGCCACACTGGCTAACGTTTTGCCAAATAAGCACAAAGCTAACCCCATCTGAAAAAAAAAATGCAGAACCCATGAATTTTTAAAAGTTCATACATAATATATCATAAAAGTAGGATGAATAATACGGTGTATGGGCTTTAATAAAAAGCTCTTTGACCATTTCTCAGAAATTCTGAGATGTAATCAATACCCAAAACGGTATCTTGGGGACATTGCTAAGATTTACCTTTTTTTGCACAGAGTGACACTATCTGCTTACTATATCAACTGAGGACACAATATTGAATTTCAGAGAACAGAAGGAAGAAGTAGTATTGTTATCTGCCTCAACAGTGTTTCAATTCAGACATCAGCTTTATGGCTCATCCCCGACATCAGACTTCAGAGGCGAAAAGGAGGGTTCCAAATGAGGGGTACAAGGACAGCACAAAAACTCACGTGAATCTGAGCATCAGCAGTTCGAGATTGCATCAAGCTTCTGTTTCGTTCTACTTCGGAAAGCAAATCCCCAGATGAAAGGTCTAAGATGCGTGAATGGAGTTTCTGGTGGGGCAGAAGGGAATGAGCAAAGCATAAGCATTTGTCAAACATGCAGCAGATCAGCATTTTTAAAATCCCAAACTCTGCTGTTAAATTTCAAGGGAAATGAAGACCCTGAGGTAAAAGAAGATCTGTTCTAATTTGAAATGTTGCTGTTTGTGCTTACTTTGTCCAAGACTTCCTGTCTGCAGAACAGATCATTCTTCATCCAAAACAAACTCTACTTTTTCTTCTAGTCACTGTTTTGCAACTTATCATTACTTCACATGCAACGATGACAAATGAACACGAGTCCCACCATTATCCATAGAGTTTGACAGGTTTCAGGAAAAAAGCATAAAAATGAACTACAAAATTAACATTTATAAATCAATCCACATGTTAATGTTGTTTTATTTACGAGCTGTTACACCTTGAATGAATGATTGCAAAAGTGACCCTATTTTTAAACAGCATTGATCTGCTGAAAGCCTCCCTTGCACACATTTTAACTCAAAGTCATTAATGTCATCTGCTAGGAACAATTAATGTGAATAGAAAATAATTGCATCAGGGAACTAGGGACTCAGAGGATTTTGTGCATTAATATTCACATGCTGTTCGATTATATACACAGTTCTTTTTTCAGTTTTGCTTGGAAGGATGGCTAAGCTTGTGCCTTTTCCTCCATGTTCACCTGTATACTAATTACTAAGGCTTTCAGTGTGCATTAAGCCTGATTTGTTTTAATTGTAGTTTCAATAAAATCCATGATTTATGTGAATGCCTTGGCCAATGACTTCAAAAGAAGAAATATCTGCAGTCTTGTCAGTCATTGGACCAACATATCATGTAAGAGGCAGTATGGATCTGACTCACAGTCCACTGAAATCAATGAAAAAGGACGTAAAAAAAAAAAATCCAAACAAAAGTACTTTGGATCAGGTTCTTTTCATTTTTCCATTAATTCTCCAGGCTTGAAACCCGAGAAACCACAGCTAGCCCCTCCTCAGCACTGGGGTGCTCAGCTTGGAGGCACAAATGGTGCAGACCCTGCCAGGGCGCTTTGCCAGGGGGATGCTGTGAAGGATGCAAACCACGGAGACTTGTCGAGGCTGCATGAGTGGCCCATCACCCTGTCCATCCAAAAAGCCTGGTCAAAGAGGGAAAAAGAATCTGTAGCCACAGAAGTCCTTCCACACTGTGTAGTAGTAGTAATGGCAAGACAGTTCTTTGCAGGGCTCTGAAACATCAGTCATGCAGCATCTTATGCCCAGCTACTCCCCAGCCCACTCTCCTGGTACCCACTGCAGAAATTCATCTGCTAGAGAACAAAGCAGGTGGCCATTCCTACAGCCTCTGTTATCCGAATGCTGTGCTTCAGGCATCTATTCCAGACAATCTAGCAATTTTTTTAGAAAACTACTAATTATAAATTTGGGAGTAATTTCTCAAGAGTTACATATTCATCCAGGTTTCTTCAGGAGGTACTCTCTGTTGCAGACAGATCATGGAAAATATTTTCAATGATCAATGTTCTGTATAAACATATTTTGTCCAATATATTGTTGAATAGATTAAAATGCTACAAGCACTTAGTAGCCAACATACTTTTCATTATAAATATGAACTACCTCCAGGCTATGTGTTTTTTAACATCAGTGATGCCTATCGCCTAGTTATTCAGTGTGCACCTTTTAAAGTGTTATTACTAGAGTTACTGTCAGGTGTTTGTTCAAGATTTAAGCTCCAGGTAAAATGCCTTCCCAAACCCATGGATTTACTGACTTAGTACACATATTATTCTTGACAATAATTCCAACTGCATCGTTGAACCACCAGAGAATTCCACTGTTTTTAGAATCAGGAGTCACCGATGTTACGAACAAGTTGTGTACTTGCTCTTTGCAAAGCAATTACTTTCTCCAGTGAAACCAGTCACCTGATTTTTGCTTCCAGAGATATTTTAGTGGAAGTTAGTATGGCCAGATCTGTGCATTAGAGAGGATGACTGCGGACATCTGAGATGGATGAACTTTTATACTTGAACATTTATTTTCCCAGAAAAAAGTATCCTAGAAATAGTGCTATAGGAGTTTTACAGTTGTAAAACTGTCTTCTCATTTTTCCAGCAAGGCATTTTAAATACTTCATTACTTAAATGGGAACACATATGCATCTCATTATGGGAAACTAAATATACCCCCATAACGTCATCCAATGGAATTTAGTGTGCTGCTGTTATTGTCCATATCAGACATAAGAGCAGAGATCAGCCCAACTGGAACAGGCAGAAAACAGGTAATTTTTGGCCAGTGATGAGCCGTAGCCCATCAGAGCACACTGTAAACGGCTCGGAGTTACGGGGGTCCCTCCACACTGGCTCAGTGACCAGAAGGGCTGAGCTGGACACGGATCACGCTATGTTTGGAATCATCTTTGCCAGCATTAAACTCTATAACTCTATAAAACTATAATGACAAAGGTGAATCAGCTGACTAAAATGATTAACAAAGAGGGAAAGTGTGTTCTCAAGATGTATAATGTGATTACATTTCTGTATCAAACAAAAGATCGTCACATTGGGAGTATTCCCCCCCCACATATGCAAATAAACTAACAGACACACGACCGGCACAATGACTAGCGTTAACAGCATAACAAACTTTGAGATCATTAATTAAATATAGTCACACAGCACTGAAGCAAGTCATCCAATTACAAAAGAAAAATGATAAGAAAATTGTTTTTCTTTCATTTATTTTTTCTTTTTCCTTCTCCATTTTCTAATTAAAAAAAATGGGAAAAACTCTACTATTTGTTAAAAAACCTCATTAATGATCCATTTAAAATCAAGTAACAGATTGTGCTAACTATGTATCTTGATTCTGATATCTTCTCAGATGCGCAAAATGTACTGTGTCCTTTATGGTTATTTTCAGATGACAGTCACATAACTAGATCAAGGAGTTACGGCTGCCTTGAAAATTGTACAGTATTAAAATCACTGTTGATGGTATCATGATGCGATGCAACAAAAAGCAGACCACAGCACAGAATGACTTCCACAGAAAAGATCACATCAGTTTAAATGAATACTTAAATATGAAACTGAAGAGTTACAACTATAAATCCCAGTCACCTGCCCCATTTGTTGGTGGCCTATAAAATGATAAGGGGAAACCGGGCAATATCTGTACATGGTGGGGAACGTCTGCGCCCCTCTGAACACAGGAAACCATCAGGAGCACAGGGCTGCAGAACAGAAAACCCTTCGGGAACTGCACACAGTATGGGCTGGGCCAACTTGCTTGGACATTACCCCGTACTGAGTACTGCCAGGGCAGGTGTGGACTAAAAAGTTGATAGCTTCTTAGCTAGACTAGACCCATGTCTCCACGAAACTGGGTGCTGAGAGGTGCAGAGGCCAGGGCAGAGCAGAACAGGCCTCTCTGTGCTGCCTGTGACCAGCAGCAGAAAAACTCCTCCTGCACCTGTGAGATTGATGCAGAAAAGGCCATGTCCTTTGTGGCTCAATTAACTCCCGTAACCCACGTAAAAAATAAAAAGAAAGTAATTGATAATTTAGGTGGAAACCTATTATATCAAATGCAATAGGGAATACAATTATCTGGCAGGCAGATAACCAATCCATCAAATAGTAGGGCAGTTCTCCCTCCCCCCAGCAGCATCCTTATTAAGGCTTTCTAGGAAGATGAAAGAAGGCCACTACCTGCTGGCATGAGGCAAAATTACAGACAGACTCCCCCAGCTATTGTGCCTCTTGACTGTATCTGTGCTGAATATCTATCAGTTCCTTTTTGAAACGTCTAATGGCCTGCAGCATTGCCAGAACAATTTTCAATGAATTATGCCAAACTGTACACAGCTCTCCAATATTGGATGAGTTAATTGCTATTAAATCAATTGGCTTTGCTTTTCTCACATGAGCCAAAGTCCATCACTCACAAGAAAGAAATTCTCTCTCCAGGTTCTAAGGAGACATTTTCATCCTGGTGCTCCGTGCCTGAGCCGTAAATGTTCGTTTGGTGCGCGTGGCCTCCCCCCATCTCTGCTGTTATCTGGGGCGTCACAAACCTGAACTCTAGACTGCTCTCCTATGTAACCTGACCATTGTGAGCAGACTGGCAGGGAATGCCTTTTCTGCAGCCTTCACACTGCTCTTTTCTAATAATTCTCTGCACAAAGAAGATTCCTCTCAAGTCCACAGACAGCAACACAACCGCTCCAATTCCACCCCTGTTGTACTAAATCACTTAAGACTTAGTAACTCCACCAAAAACATGCAAAAAAAATGTGCAACACAAGAGTGCTGATATGGTGATCTCTTTATAGGTGTGATAGAGGCTCATGAAAGACAGGAGCTCTTTCTAGCTGACTTTTTTCCACAGTCATCTGACCTGTCTCACTCTTCCTGTTCCCTTGTTCATCTTTAACTGTCCTATCCATCAGAAGCAGAGCGCAGCTGTGAAGTAATCACATCTTGGATGAGCTTTAGTTTCAAAAGGCCTTACAGAAATAGTACTCTATACTATGTTTCCATTACACCATAGAAGATAGCAGACCAAAGAAAGAAAAATATATCATTAGGTATGCAATTTACGTAGTATTAGCTTATGCAGAAATATAATCGGTCACGAAACTAAATCTTGATTTTTTTAGTCCTTAGATACATTGCAGAGGGTGTGTTCAGCTGGAGATGAGAGAACATCCTTCCCCTATTCCATCAGAAGTTACCTAGATTAAGAACACGCACTATTCCAAGTATGAAGTGTGAACTTCTCATACACTAAATACTCTGAAATAAAGGAGAAAGTTAAGTATAAGGAAAAAATAGTGAAACCTCTGAAAGTAGAAATAGATTTTGCTTTTAAAAAAATCAGAGGTTGTAATACATATGCTTTTGACATACAGTAATTCTGCTTTCTAAAGAGAGCAGAACAAGTGGTTGTCAACATTAAACAGCCAAATATGAAGCAAAAGTGAAAGCTGGAAAAAGATGC